GTACATCATTAAGTACCATTCATCCGCCCCCCCCCCCCCCCCCCTTATACCCCCCCCCCCTCTCCCCCCCCCCCTCCTCCCCGCCCCCCCACCACCGTCCCCACACAATCATTGTAATATATAATATTGTGTATTGTGTTGCGTCTACCTATAACACGAAACATCACATAGTATATTTAATAACTCCTTATTACCAACAACCAATGATCTTAAACTGCAAAGCGGGACTTAGAGTTGTTGTTCATTCGTTCAGTCGTCTCCGACTCTTTGTGACCTCATGGACCAGCCTACGCCAGAGCTCCCTGTCGGCCGTCACCACCCCCAGCTCCTTCAAGGTCAGTCCAGTCACTTCAAGGATGCCATCCATCCATCTTGCCCTTGGTCAGCCCTTCTTCCTTTTGCCTTCCACTTTCCCCAGCATAATTGTCTTCTCTAGGCTTTGCTGTCTCCTCATGATGTGGCCAAAGTACTTCAACTTTGTCTCTAGTATCTTTCCCTCCAGTGAGCAGTCGGGCTTTATTTCCTGGAGGATGGACTGGTTGGATCTTCTCGCAGTCCAAGGCACTCTCAGCACTTTCCTCCAACACCACAGCTCAAAAGCACTCTCTTCCTTCGCTCAGCCTTCCCTAAGGTCCAGCTCTCACATCCGTAGGTGACTACAGGGAATACCATGGTTTTGACTAGGCAATGGATCTTTGTTGCCAGTCTGATGTCTCTACTCTTTACTATTTTATCGAGACTGGACATTGCTCTCCTCCCAAGAAGTAAGCGTCTTCTGACTTCCTGGCCACAGTCTGCATCTGCAGTCATCTTTGCACCTAGAAATACAAACCCTGTCACGGCCTCCACATTTTCTCCCTCTATTTCTCAGTTGTCAATCATTCTTGTTGCCATAATCTTGGTTTTTTGATGTTTAGCTGCAACCCGGCTTTTGCGCTTTCTTCTTTCACCTTGATTAGAAGGCTCCTCAGCTCCTCCTCGCTTTCGGCCATCAGAGTGGTGTCATCTGCATATCTGAGGTTGTTAATGTTTCTTCCAGCAATTTTCACCCCAGCTTTGCATTCATCAAGCCCCACACATCGCATGATGTGTTCTGCATACAAGTTAAAAAGGTTGGGTGAGAGGATGCAGCCTTGCCGTACGCCTTTCCCAATCTTGAACCAGTCTGTTGTTCCGTGGTCAGTTCTGACTGTTGCTACTTGGTCCTTGTACAGATTCCTCAGGAGAGAGACAAGGTGGCTTGGGATGCCCATCCCACCAAGAACTTGCCACAACTTATTATGATCCACACAGTCAAAGGCTTTAGAATAGTCAATGAAGCAGAAATAGATGTTTTTCTGGAACTCCCTGCCTTTCTCCATTATCCAGCGGATATTGGCAATCTGGTCTCTCGTTCCTCTGCCTTTTCTAAACCCAGCTTGAACATCTGGCAACTCTCTCTCCATGTATTGCTGGAGTCTTCCTTGCAGGATCTTGAGCATTACCTTACTGGCATGAGAAATAAGGCCACTGTACGGAAGTTTGAGCAGTCTTTCGCATTTCCCTTTTTTGGTATGGGGATATAAGTTGATTTTTTCCAGTCTGGTGGCCATTCTTGTGTTTTCCATATTTGCTGGCATATGGCATGCATCACCTTGACAGCATCATCTTTTAAGATTTTAAACAGTTCAGCTGGGATCCCGTCGTCTCCTGCTGCCTTGTTGTTAGCAATGCTTCTTAAGGCCCATTCAACCTCACTCCTCAGGATGTCTGATTCTAATTCATTCACCACACCGTCAAAACTATCCTCAATATTATTATCCTTCCTATACAGATCTTCTGTATAGTCTCGCCACCTTCTCTTGATCTCTTCAGCTTCTGTTAGGTCCCTGCCATCTTTGTTTCTTATCATACCAATTTTTGCCTGAAATTTACCTCCAATGTTTCTAATTTTCTGGAAGAGGTCTCTTGTCCTTCCTATTCTGTTGTCTTCTTCAACTTCCATGCATTGCTTATTTAAAAATAGTTCCTTATCTCTTCTGGCTAACCTCTGGAATTGCGCATTTAACTGGGCATATCTCCCCTTATCCCTGTTTCCTTTTGCTTTCCTCCTTTCTTGGGTTACTTCCAGTGTCTCAGCAGACAACCATTTTGCCTTCTTGGTTTTCTTTTTCTTTGGGACGTACTTTGTTGCCGCCTCCTGAACAATGTCTCGGGCTTCTGTCCATAGTTCTTCTGGGACTCTGTTTACTAAATCTAGTCCTTCAAATCTGTTCTTCACTTCCACTGTATATTCGCTAGGAATGTTAGTGAGATCATATCTAACTGGTCTGTGTATTTTCCCTGATCTCTTTAGATTTATTCTAAATTGAGCAATAAGAAGTTCGTGATCTGAGCTACAGTCAGCCCCAGGTCTTGTTTTCACCGACTGGATGGATGTCCGCCACCTTTGGCTGCAAAGGATGTAGTCAATCTGATTTCGGTGCTGACCATCTGGTGAAGTCCATGTATAAAGCCGTCTCTTAGGTTGTTGGAACTATATTGCTATATTATTAATAATATTAATATTAATAATATTACATGTTCTATATAATATACAATTATATTATATATATTTATTGCATTGTACAATATTATTTACGGCACTCCATGCAGTCATGCCGGCCACATGACCTTGGAGGTGTCTACGGACAACGCTGGCTCTTCGGCTTAGAAATGGAGATGAGCACCACACCCCAGAGTCAGACATGACTGGACTTAATGTCAGGGGACTACCTTTACCTTTACCTTACAATATTATTATCCCATTAGATATATAATACATTAACAGTATATTATACAATTAGTAATATATATATGTGTGTGTGTGTATCTACACACACACACACACACACACATATATATATATATTTAATACTTCTTCATACAAAATGGCAAAATCATATAGAGATAGAGATATATATTTAAGGCATGGATACAGAACAGTTTGGCCTATTCTTCGAAATTTACTGAAAATCCCCTAAAAATGCTTTCAGAACGTTCATTCCAAGCAGGCCAAAGAATTCGCCCCTGTCCCTTTAAGGCGTTTTGCGCGCGCTCATGTCTCTTAAGTATTGTTTTGAGATCCTTTTATCCCTCGCGGGCCGCCGTAGCCGAGGGAGGCCGCCTCCTGCGCGTGTGCCAAGGGAGGCTAAGCGAAAAGATGTCGTTCGCGTTGCCTATTAAGGTTTGAAGGGTTCTTTTTATCCCTCGGGGGCCACCGTAGTCGTAGGGAAGCTATCCTTTTGCGCCTGCGCGGGGCGGATTCTCGCTGCGGCCGGCCTGAGGAGCGGCTGCGTCCTTCCTCACTGCGCCTGCGCGAGAGGCCTTCCTCCCGCCCGGCGGCCAGAAAAAGGAAAACGGGGCCGCCGCTGAGAGCAAAACGACGGAGGAGGCGAAGGAGAAGGAAGAGGAAGACATCCTCCCTTCCGTCGTCAGGGGCGAATCGAGTAAGGCGGGAAAGGCGCAGGCCCAGCGACTAGGCCTCAGTGGCGATGACGTCATGGGGTCCTTTTTGGCCCCCTTTTCTCCTTTCTCTGCCCCGAAGAGCTTGCAGTTCTATAGATAGAGATTTCGGGATGCTTTGATGGGTTTTTGTGTGTCTGGCGAACTGAAAGTCTTCCATTGCTGAGATATGCAAGGAGTAGGCTGTGCGTGGCCAGTGTGTACACGTGTGTGGCTGTGCACACGTGCTTTGAGAGGAGAAGCCTCAGCTACAGTGGGATCAATGCAGTTTGGCACCACTTGAACCGCCATGGCTCAGTTCGATGGCTTCCTGGGAGTTGTAGCAATATCAGGTCTCTAGAATGCATCTACATTGTGGAATTAATGCAGTTTGGTCCCACTTTAATTGCCATGGCTCAGTTCTATGGCATCTTGGGAGTTGTAGCTTTATAAGGGCTCTAGAATGCATCTACATTGTGGATTTAATGCAGTTTGGTAGCACTTGAACTGCCATGGCTCAGCTCTATCGCAATCCTGGGAGTTATAGCATTATCAGGTCTGTAGAATGCATCTACATTGTGGATTTAATGCAGTTTGGCTCCACTTTAATTGCAGTAGTGCAGTACTATGGTATCATGGGAGTTATAGCTTTATAAGGTCTCTGGAGTGCATCCATATTGAGAAATTAATGCAGTTTGGCAGCACTTTAATTGCAGTGATGCAGTGCTATGGAATCATGGGAGTTACAGCTTTATAAGGTCTCTGGAGTGCATCTATATTGAGAAATTAATGCAGTTTGGCACCACTTGAACTGCCATGGCTCAGTACTATGGCATCGAGGGAGTTGTAGCTTTACATGGCCCAGTTCTATGGCATTGAGGGAGTTGTAGCTTAATCAGGTCTCTGGAATGCATCTACATTGTGGATTTAATGCAGTTTGGCATCACTTGAATTGCCATGGCTCAGTACTATGACATCGAGGGAGTTTTAGCTTTATCAGGTCTCTAGGGTGCATCTATATTATAAATTTAATGCAGTTTGGCAGCACTTGAACTGCCATGGCTCAGTTCTATGGCATCCTGGGAGTTGTAGCATTATCAGGTCTCTAGAATGCATCTACATTGTGGAATTAATGCAGTTTGGCACCACTTGAACTGCCAAGGCTCAGTTCTATGGCATCGTGGGAGTTGTAGCTTTATCAGGTGTCTAGAATACATCTACATTGTGGATTTAATGCAGTTTGGCCCCACTTGAACTGCCATGGCTCAGTTCTATGGCATCCTGGGAGTTGTAGCATTATCAGGTCTCTAGAATGTATCTACATTGTGGAATTAATGCAGTTTGGCAGCACTTGAACTGCCAAGGCTCAGTTCTATGGCATCCTGGGAGTTGTAGCATTATCAGGTCTCTAGAATGCATCTACATTGTGGAATTAATGCAGTTTGGCAGCACTTGAACTGCCAAGGCTCAGTTCTATGGCATCGAGGGAGTTGTAGCATTATCAGGTCTCTAGAATGCATCTACATTGTGGAATTAATGCAGTTTGGCAGCACTTGAACTGCCATGGCTTAGTTCTATGGCATCCTGGGAGTTGTAGCATTATCAGGTCTCTAGAATGCATCTACATTGTGGAATTAATGTAGTTTGGCCCCACTTGAACTGCCATGGCTTAGTTCTATGGCATCCTGGGTGTTGTAGCATTATCAGGTCTCTAGAATGCATCTACATTGTGGAATTAATGCAGTTTGGCAGCACTTGAACTGCCATGGCTTAGTTCTATGGCATCCTGGGAGTTGTAGCTTTATCAGGCCTCTAGAATGCATCTACATTGTGGAATTAATGCAGTTTGGCCCAATTTGAACTGCCGTGGCTCACTTCTATGGCATCATGGGAGTTGTAGCTTTATCAGGTCTCTAGAATGCATCTACATTGTGGAATTAATGCAGTTTGGCCCCACTTGAATTGCCATGGCTCAGTTCTATGGCATCCTGGGAGTTGTAGCAATATCAGGTCTCTAGAATGCATCTTGTTGTTGCTGTTCATTCGTTCAGTCATCTCCGACTCTTCGTGACCTCATGGACCAGCCCACGCCAGAGCTCCCTGTCGGCCGTTACCACCCCCAGCTCCCTCAAGGTCAGTCCAGTCACTTCAAGGATGCCATCCATCCATCTTGCCCTTGGTCGGCCCCTCTTCCTTTTGCCTTCCACTTTCCCCAGAATGCATCTACATTGTGGAATTAATGCAATTTGGTGCCACTTGAACTGCCGTGGCTTAGTTCTATGGTATCGTGGGAGTTGTATCTTTATCAGGTCTCTAGAATGCATCTACATTGTGGATTTAATGCAGTTTGGTCCCACTTGAACTGCCATGGCTTAATTCTATGGCATCCTGGAAGTTGTAGCTTAATCAAGTCTCTGGAATGCATCTACATTGTGGAATTAAAGCAGTTTGGCCTCACTTGAACTGCCATGGCTTAGTTCTATGGCATCGAGGGAGTTGTAGCTTTATCAGGTCTCTAGAATGCATCTACATTGTGGAATTAATGCAGTTTGGCCACACTTGAATTGCCATGGCTCAGTTCTATGGCATCCTGGGAGTTGTAGCAATATCAGTTCTCTGGAATGCATCTACATTGTGGAATTAATGCAGTTTGGTAGCACTTGAACTGCCATGGCTTAGTTCTATGGCATCCTGGGAGTTGTATCATTATCAGGTCTCTAGAATGCATCTACATTGTGGAATTAATGCAGTTTGGCTCCACTTGAACTGCCATGGCTCAGTACTATGTCATCGTGGGAGTTGTAGGTTTATAAGGTCTCCAAGGTGCATCTAAATTGTGGAATTAATACAGTTTGGCTCCACTTTAATTGCAGTGACGCAGTGCTATGGCATCATGGGAGTTACAGCTTTATAAGGTCTCTGGAGTGCATCCATATTGAGAAATTAATGCAGCTTGGCACCACTTTAATTGCAGTGATGCAGTGCTATGGCATCATGGGAGTTACAGCTTTATAAGGTCTCTGGAGTGCATCCATATTGAGAAATTAATACAGTTTGGCACCACTTTAATTGCAGTGATGCAGTGCTATGGCATCATGGGAGTTACAGCTTTATAACGTCTCAAAGTGCATCTATATTGAGAAATTAATGTAGTTTGGCATCACTTGAACCGCCATGGTTCAGTACTATGGCATCATGGGAGTCATAGCTTTATAACGTCTCAAAGTGCATCTATATTGAGAAATTTATGCAGTTTGACCCCACTTGAATTGCCATGGCTCAATACTATGGCATCGTGGGAGTTGTAGAATTATAAGGTCTCTAAGGTGCACCGTTGTGGAATTAATACAGTTTGTCAGCACTTTAATTGTCACGGCTAGGTGCTATAGCACTGTGGGAGTTCTAGCATTATAAGGTTTCTAGGGTGTGTGAATCAATGCAGTTGGCACTGCTTGAATTGCCATGGCTCAGTACTATGGCATTATGGGAGTTGTCCTTTTATAAAGTCTCTAAGGTGCATCTAGATGGTGGAATTAATGCAGTTTGGGCACCACTTGAACTACCACGGTGCAGTGCTATGGCATTGTGGGAGTTGTGGCATTATAAGGTCTCTAGGGTTCATCTGCATCAGTGGTTCTCAACCTGGGGTCCCCACATGTTTGTAGCCTCCAACTCCCAGAAATCCTAATAACTGGTAAACTGGCTAGGATTTCTGGGAGTTGTAGGCCAAAAACATCTGGGGACCCTAGGTTGAGAACCACTGATCTACATTGTGGAATCAGTGCAGTTTGGCACCACTTGGGTTGCCATATTGCAGTGTTATGGCATCGTGGGAGTTGTAGCTCCATAAGGTGCCTAGGGTGCATCCACATTGTGGAATCAATGCAATTTGGCTTCCAGGGATCAGTGCTATGGGAGCACTGTTTAAGGTTTCTTGGGTGCATCTACATTGTGGAATTAATGCGGTTTGGCCCCACTTTAATTTCCATGGTACAGTGTTATGGCATTGTGGGAGTTTTAGCTTTATAGGGTCTCTAGGGTGCATCTACATTGTGGATAGAATCAAAGCACTTTGGCACCGCTTGAATTGCCATGGGGCAGTGCCATGGAATCATGGGAGTTGTAGCTTTACCAGATCTCTAGGGTGCATTTACATTGTGGAATTAATGTAATTTGGCCCCACTTGAACTGCCAAGGTACTGTGCTATGGCATAATGGGAGTTGTAGCTTCATAAGGTGCCTAGGAATGCATCCACATTGTGGAATTAATGCAATTTGATTGCCAGGGATCCGTGGGAGCATGGGAATTGTAGCTGTATAAGTTTTATAGGGTGCACCTACATTGCAGAATTAATGCGGTTTGGCATCAGTTTAACTGCTGTGGCACAGTGCTATGGGATTGTGGGAGTTGTAGCTTTATAAGGTCTCTAGGGTGCATCTACATTGTGGAATTAATTCAGTTAAAGCATTTACCGTATGTAAACAATTGGTTGGTTTCTTTTTCTGTCCGTTTCTTCAGGAGACTACTTTTACTTCTAATCCATCGTGCTCTTTTGTCCTCGGAAGCGCCTGAAAGCTGGCTGGCTTCTTTCCAGAGCCATGGCCACGGAAGAGAAGAAACCCGATGCAGAGTCGACCAAAACACAATCCACGCCTTCCTCTTCGACCAACCAAACCAAGGTATGACAGAGGCATCTGCCTCCCAAGCTCAAATGCTCAAAAGGTTCGGAGGCTGCTTAGTATGTTGAATTTTCCCTAGCCCTGGAAATCCCAGTGTCATTTAAGGAGTTGGGTGAACATTGCTCAGGGAAGGGTTCATAAGTTGTACAGGCAGTCCCAAAGTTACGTACAAGATAGGCTCTGTAGTTTGCTCTTAAGATGAATTTGTATGCAAGTTGGAACCTGGATACAACATATTATTTGAGAACACAGAAATGCTGGACCACTCTCACAACCACCATGTCAGACGACACAGAGAAGCCACTGAAATCCACAAGCATGTGGACAATTTAAACAGAAAGGAAGAAACCATGAAAATGAACAAAATCTGGCTACCAGTATTAAAAAAACTGTAAAATTATAACAACAAAACAACAGAAAGTAAACAATCAGGCACATCAAATCACCTCTCAACAAAACATTCCCCCAGGCACTTCCAAGCCATTAAATGCTAATCAAGGTGGTCGGTTGAAGCATTCACCCCTACCTCCAGCAGACAAAAGTCCTTTGTCCCACCCTGGTCATTCCACAGATATATAAACCCATTTTCTTAGTTCCAACAGACCTCACTACCTCTGAGGATGCTTGCCATAGATGCAGGCGAAACATCAGGAGAAAATGCCTCTAGAGCATGGCCATATAGCCCGCAAAAACCTGCAACTACCCAGTGATTCAGGCCATGAAAGCCTTCGACAATACATTGGAACAGATACTTTTTAAAAGTGTAACTCCGCCCATATCTATATCTATACACTTAATAAAAGTGAAAATATGTATGTGGCTGGGGTGACCACTCACACAGACAAGCTCCTGCCTCCACAAACATCTATAGCTCCTACTACTCAGGAGACACCAATGTCCCCGGGAGCCCCCGGTGGTGCAGTGGGTTAAACCCCTGTGCCGGCAGGACTGAAGACCGACAGGTCGCAGGTTCGAATCCGGAGAGAGGCGGATGAGCTCCCTCTATCAGCTCCAGCTCCTCATGCGGGGACATGAGAGAAGCCTCCCACAAGGATGATAAAAACATCAAATCATCCAGGCGTCCCCTGGGCAACGTCCTTACAGATGGCCAATTCTCTCACACCAGGAGTCACTCCTGACACGACAAAAAAAAACCAATGCCCCCCTCTTCCAATGACATTGCAGGTTATAGAACATGCCCAAAAGCCTTGCCTCCTCCACAAACACCACCCAAGTGAAGGCTTTCATCCGAGGACAATTCTTCCTAGATTTCATGTGTTTCCTCCACCATAGACATCCCAGTGTTTCTGATTCTCCATTGGTGTGGAATTGGCATGACCCCGCCCACTGCCTCTCCCTTAACCCTTTCCTATTCTTTCTATGCCACACAGCAAACAGAGGAATGTAAGTCTGATGTTTTTTACTTGGCCTGTACTTGAAATGCATATTGAGTTTCCCCCCCTTCTTTTCAGACTGCCCCTGTAAAGCCAAACTACGCCCTGAAGTTCACATTGGCGGGACACACAAAAGCTGTCTCATCTGTCAAATTCAGTCCCAACGGGGAGTGGTTGGCCAGTTCGTGTAAGTATTGGCTCTGATGCATTCAGGGCGGGCAAAGAGGGAGGGAATATTCTTAATAGTCCTTGATGGTATCTTCTTTCCTTCCTTAGCTGCTGACAAGCTTATTAAAATTTGGGGCGCGTATGACGGCAAATTTGAAAAAACCATATCTGGCCACAAACTGGTGAGTCCCTTTCTTTCTTCAAGAACCAATTAAAAACTTTTCTGTTTAGACAGGCCTTTAGTGAAGGAAGCTAAACACCATCATGTTTATAGGCTGGAACAAAGTGCAGTATGATCTGACCTGATGCCACAAGAATGTGAATGTATATTATTGTTGTTTCAAATTGTTATTTTATTTATTTACTATATTTGTATACCGCTCTTCTCAGCCCTCGGGCGACTCAGAGCGGTTAACAATAGCAAAATTCAATGCTCAAAAACATCATAAACCGTTAAAAACAATTAAAGCAGTAGTATACAGTTAATATAGATCAATAAAACATCTCATTCGCGTCTCATAGTTAAGATCGAAATCCAGTCTCATCATCCAATTGTTCCATATTCTTTACACTGTCTATTCAAATGCCTGCTCGAACAACCAGGTCTTCACTTTCCTCTGAAATGTCAACAGGGAGGGGGCCGATCTAATATCTGTAGGAAGGGCGTTCCACAGCTGAGGGGCCACCACTGAGAAGACCCTGTCTCTCGTCCCCGCCAAACATACTTGTGACGCAGGCGGGACCGAGAGCAGGGCCTCCCCAGACAATCTTAACACCCTAGCTGGTTCGTAGGTGGAAATGTGTTTGAACATGATGTTTTATACTTACTATCAATGTATTTGGATTACTGTTTACATAATTTTAATCTGTCACGGGTCCCGTAAGAGAAAAATGCGGGATATTAATTTATTATTATTATTATTATTATTATTATTATTATTATGTGATACACAACAAAATTAATACACACAACCAGCAAGATCCTTATGTTGGCTTTTGTATTCGATCACACGTTGGACACTTCCCAAATTAAAGAATATATTTTATATTATGTGTAATATTACTAACAATATTACAATATAATGGTGTAGTACAATATAGTACTATATAATACTGATATTGTACTATGTACTATGCTAATAATTTAATATATTGTATGTATATATTATTCGCTTCAGCAGCACATAGACTAAAATGTATATATATATCTTGTAAGCCACTCTGAGTCCCCTTCAGAGTATATTATACTGCTAGCTGTTCCCTGCCGTGCATTGCTGTGGCCCAGTCTGTGTATATGTGTTTTGTATGTGTATATATTTGTGTATATGTGTGTTTACATGTATATATGTGGTTTTGCACATGCATTGTAATGTGTTTTTTGGGTTTTTTTGCTTTTTAATTCTCTTCTGCTGTATTTTTCAGTGTTTTATGAGTGATGGTTACTTGTTGGCCTGATAGGTATATTGTGTCCAAATTTGGTGTCAATTCGTCCAGTAATTTTTGAGTTATGTTAATCCCACAAACGAACATTACATTTTTATTTATATAGACTAGCTGTCCCCTGTCACGTGTTGCTGTGGCCCACATGGGGTTTCTTTGTGGGAGGTTAGGCCCAATTCTATCGTTGGTGGGGTTCAGAATGCTCTGTGATTGTAGGTGAACTATAAATCCCAGCAACTACAACTCCCAAATGTCAAAGATTCTATTTCCCCCAAACTCCACCAGTGTTCACATGTGGGCATATTGAGTATTAGTGTAGAGTTTGGTCCAGATCCATCATTGTTTGAGTCCACAGTGCTCTCTGGATGTAGGTGAACTACAACTCCAAAACTAAAGGACACTGCCCACCAAACCCTTCCAGTATTTTCTGTTGGTCATGGGAGAGCTGTGTGCCAAGTTTGGTTCAATTCCATCGTTGGTGGGGTTCAGAATACTGTTTGATTGTAGGTGAACTATAAATCCCAGCAACTACAACTCCCAAATGACAAAATAATTTTTTTGGGTGAAGGACATACATTGAGTTGTTAAGTGTCTTGTGTCCAAATTTGGTGTCAATTCGTCCAGTGGTTTTTGAGTTCTGTGAATATCACAAACGAACATTACATTTTTATTTATATAGATAACTTGTAATATTACTAACAATATTACAATATAATGGTGTAGTACAATATAGTACTATATAATACTGATATTGTACTATGCTAATGATTTAATATATTGTATGTGTATATATCTTGTAAGCCACTCTGAGTCCCCTTCAGAGTGAGAAGGGCAGCATATAAATGTCATAAATAAATGTTTAGGACTGTGTGATGTATTGGCGAATAATGCATGCAGATCTGAGTAGGGTAGCCTTTTGCAGCTGACAGATGGTAATTTTGTCAGTGCTGATGGTTTTTGAGTGCAGGCCAAGGTCTTTAGGCACTGCGCCCAGTGTGCCAATCACCACTGGGACCCCCTTGATTGGCTTGTGCCAGAGTCTTTGCAGTTTGATCTTTAAATCCTCATATTGCTTGTTAGTTGTGTCTGGCTGTTGTGGGTGTCATAAATTAGGATCTTGGGAAGTTAAAACTTCCCACAACTAGCGACTTTCCTGCTGCAAACCAGGGGATTTTGTACTTTAAAATTCTTCCCACGCGCTCTGGAAAATGTCACGGCCTCTTTCTGAATATGCGTACATTTTATATACCTTTTGCCATCTTTTATTATATGCAGGGAATTTCTGATGTCGCTTGGTCCTCCGACTCCAACCTCCTTGTCTCTGCATCAGATGACAAAACGCTCAAAATCTGGGATGTGAGCTCGGTAAGAAACATATCTTTTTCGTGTTTTTAAAACTAAAAGTTACCGTAAATGTGTTGTCGAAGGCTTTCAAGGCTGGAATCACTGGGTTGCTGTGAGTTTTCCAGGCTACATGGCCATGTTCCAGAAGCATTCTCTCCTGACATTTCACCCACATCTATGGCAGGCATCCTCAGAGGTTGTGATGTCTGTTGGAAACTAGGCAAGTGAGGTTTATATATCTGTGGAATGATGTCCAGGGTGGGAGAAAGAACTCTTGTCTGTTGGGGGCAAGTGTGAATGTTACCATTGGCCACCTTGATTAGCATTGGATGGCCTTGCAGCTTCAAAGCCTGTCTGCGAGTAAAGTTTGTATATCTGTGGAATGATGTCCAGTGTGGGAGAAAGAACTCTTGTCTGTTGGGGGCAAGTGTGAATGTTACCATTGGCCACCTTGATTAGCATTGAATGGCCTTGCAGCTTCAATGTAATTAATCTTTATAAGGTCATCCTGGTCCATTTAACTATTCTGTGAACTGAATTTTATATGTTTGGGGGTATCTTGGTGTCTTTCCTCTGCAGAGGAAGTTCTTTCTAATTTCTTTGAGTGCGCCGTGGTTTATAGTATTTGTGCCACTAGGTGGTGGTGTAACCCTTCCTATCCAGACCACAGATTTGACCGAAAACTTAAAGACAAAGATCCACCCAGAGGAAAAGTATACTCACCATACATCAAGGGAACTACTGACCGCATAGGGAAGCTGAGGATGAAACACAGCCTACAAGCAATTTACAGACCCACTAAGAAAATCCAGCAAACGCTATGTTCTGCAAAGGACAAGAGGGGTCCTCTCACCTCTGCAGGAGTCTCCTGTATCCCATACAGTTGTGGACAAGTCTATAGAGGGACCACCAAACGCAGTAGCATTGCCCAAACATGAATCAAGGAACATGAAACTCACTCAGACTAACTCAGCCATAGCAGAGCACCTGATGAACCAACCTGGACACAAAATATTATTGGAGAAGATCGAAATACTGGATCACTCTCACAACCACTATGTCAAAAGACACAGAGAAGCCATTGAAATCCACAAGCATGTGGATAATCTCAACAGAAAGCAGGAAACCATGAAAATGAACCAAACCTGGCTACCAGTATTTAAAAAAACTCTAAAATCAGGACAGTAAATAAAGAGCAACACTCAGAAAACAGACATTCCAGAGAAGAAGCAAACAGGGCCACTAATCACCTCCTAACAAAGGATTTCCTCCCAGGCAGGAAGCAGCCAGGCTTTGAAGCTGCAAGGTCATTCAATGCTAATCAGGTTGGCCAATTGCAACATTCACACCTGCCTCAAGCAGACAAGAGTTCTTTCTCCCACCTTGGTCATTATTCCACAGATATGCAAACCGCATTTTCCTAGTTTCCAACAGACCTCGCAGCCTCTGAGGATGCCTGCCATAGATGTGGGCAAAACATCAGGAGAGAACGCTTCTGGAACATGACCAGAAAGCCCGGAAAACTCACAGCAACCCAGTGATTACAGCCATGAAAGCCATAGACAACTCATCAGACCTCATAACTTCTGAGGATGCCTGCCATAGATGTGGGTGAGATGTCAGGAGAGAATGCTTCTGGAACATGGCCAGACAGCCTGGAAAACTTACAGAACCCAGTGATTCCAGCCATGAAAGCCTTAGACAACTCCTCACAACTTCTGAGGATGCCTGCCATAGATGTGGGTGAAACATCAGGAGAGAATGCTTCTGGAACATGGCCAGACAGCCTGGAAAACTCACAGCAACTCACTTATTTGCATATTTTGTCATTGATGCTTCCTCATTCTCTCTTGCTACAGAGTCCACTCCATACTCTTTTATTTTCCTTTTTAGGGAAAATGCTTAAAGACCCTGAAAGGGCACAGCAACTACGTCTTCTGTTGCAACTTCAACCCCCAGTCGAACCTCATCGTCTCCGGATCGGTAAGCTTGTTTGGCTTTTGTCTGAACGAAAATTATGGGGCAAAATTGACTACCAGATTGTCAGGCATGATTTTTGGAGCCAGTAATTCCTCTTGTCACGAATTTGTGTTGGCATTTTACTCTTGGGGGGAGCACTTGCAGATGAAAGAGACTTTTGGATTTCTCTCCTGTTTCATTTTCAGTTCGATGAAAGCGTGAGAATATGGGACGTCAAGACGGGGAAGTGCCTAAAAACCCTGCCGGCTCATTCTGACCCAGTTTCAGCTGTAAGTCCTCTCCAGATGAATTGGAGGCTGCCTCGCTTTTTTGGAGTTGGGTTGTCTCTCTTTTCCCCTCCCTCCAGGAAATGAAATGGGGCGTTGATGCCCAATATTTACATTTGGTTAAGGGGTAGGAAGTACAGACAGCCCTCTGCATTGATTGCGGTTAGGAGCATTGGGCAACCGATCTTTTCCCTTACCATAAACTCTGTATTTTCTCCTCTTCAGGTGCACTTCAATCGCGACGGCTCTCTGATCGTGTCGAGTAGCTACGATGGCCTTTGGTAAGTAAGGAGAGGAAAGATACGGGGATTAAGAAGGATTTTGGGTTCTTATTGGCTCAGACAGGCATTTAAAGCAGATATATGTGAAGTAGGAATGGACAACTATTGACACAACTCCCACAGGGAACAAAAATCACATTTATTTCCTCTCCTTATTTGGGGACTGTTTGAAAATGTGCCCCATTTGTGAGAGAACATCTCCACTTTCTGATATTATTATTGTTGTTATTATTATTATTATTATTAATAGGATGAGGAAAAAGGCCAAATCCTGGGGTTGTTGTTGTTGTTATTATTATTATTAATATTAGGAGGAGGAAAAACGCCAAATTCTGGTTATAGGGCCACTCATAACTTCAATAGTGGTTGTTGTTGCTGCTGCTGCTGCTGCTGCTGTTGTTATTATTAGGAGGAGAAAAGGCCAAATCCTGGCTATAGGGCCACTCATCCTTCAATAGGGGTTGTTGTTGTTGTTGTTAGGAGGAGGAGGAGGAAAAACGCCAAATCCTGGTTATAGGGCCACTCATCCCTTCAATAGCGGTTCTTGTTATTGCTGCTGCTGTTGTTGTTTTTAGGAGGAGGAGGAAAAGGCCAAAATCTGGCTATAGGGCCACTCATCCCTTCAATAGTGGTTGTTGTTGTTGTTGTTGTTGTTGTTGTTGTTGTTGTTGTTGTTGTTGTTGTTAGGAGGAGGGAAAAGGCCAAATCCTGGTTATAGGGCCACTCATCCCTTCAATAGTGGTTGTTGTTGTTGTTGTTGTTGTTCTTGTTATTAGGAGGAGGGAAAAGGCCAAATCCTGGTTATAGGGCCACTCATCCCTTCAATAGTGGTTGTTGTTGTTGTTGTTCTTGTTGTTATTAGGAGGAGGGAAAAGGCCAAATCCTGGTTATAGGGCCACTCATCCCTTCAATAGCGGTTCTTGTTATTGCTGCTGCTGTTGTTGTTTTTAGGAGGAGGAGGGAAAAGGCCAAATCCTGGTTATAGGGCCACTCATCCCTTCAATAGTGGTTGTTGTTGTTGTTGTTCTTGTTCTTGTTGTTATTAGGAGGAGGGAAAAGGCCAAATCCTGGTTATAGGGCCACTCATCCCTTCAATAGTGGTTGTTGTTGTTGTTGTTCTTGTTCTTGTTGTTATTAGGAGGAGGGAAAAGGCCAAATCCTGGTTATAGGGCCACTCATCCCTTCAATAGTGGTTGTTGTTGTTGTTGTTCTTGTTCTTGTTATTAGGAGGAGGGAAAAGGCCAAATCCTGGTTATAGGGCCACTCATCCCTTCAATAGTGGTTGTTGTTGTTGTTGTTGTTGTTGTTGTTGTTATTAGGAGGAGGGAAAAGGCCAAATCCTGGTTATAGGGCTACTCATCCCTTCAATATGTGGTTGTTGTTGTTGTTGTTCTTGTTATTATTATTTGAAACACAACAAGATGGGTCCACAGCAGACACTCTGCTGGCTGTTGTATTGGATCACACGTCGGAAGCTTGCATTATTGGGTTGCTGTGAGTTTTCCATGCTGTCTGGCCATGTTCCAGAAGCATTCTCTCCTGATGTTTCACCCACATCTGTGGCAGGCATCCTCAGAAGTTGGGGGGTCTGTTGGAAACTAGGCAAGTGGGGTTGATATGTCTGTGGAATGACATCCAGGGTGGGAGAAAGAACTCTTGTCTGCTTGAGGCAAGTGTGCACATTGCAATTGATTACCTTAATTAATAGTGAATAGCCTTGCAGCTTCAAAGCTTGGTTACTTCCTGCATGGGAGAATCATATCTTAGGAGGTGATTAGTTAGAGTTGGAGTTGTACAGTCTCTAAAATGCATCTACATTGTGGAAATAATGCAGCTTGGCACCACTTGATTTACCACGACGCAGTGCTATGGCATTGTGTTGTTAGGTTGTATCTCCATAGTGGAATTAATGCAGTTTGGCACCACTTTAATTGCCATGGCTCAGTTCTATGGCATTGTAGGAATTGTTAGGGTGTATCTAAAGGGTGGAATTAATGCAGTTTGGCACCATTTTAATTGCCATGGCGCAGTGGTATGGCATCGTGTTATTAGGGAGTATCTACATGGTAGAATTAATGCAGTTTGGCATTACTTTAATTGGAGCCCCAGGTGGCGCAGTGGGTTAGACCCCTGTGCCGGCAGGACTGAAGACCGACAGGTCACAAGTTCAGATCCGGGGAGAGGCGGATGAGCTCCCTCTATCAGCTCCAGCTCCTCATGCAGGGACATGAGAGAAGCCTCCCACAAGGATGATAAAAACATCAAATCATCCAGGCGTCCCCTGGGCAACGTCCTTGCAGACGGCCAATTCTCTCACACCAGAAGTGACTTGCAGTTTCTCAAGTTGCTCCTGACACGACAAAAAAAAAATAGTTTAATTGTCATGGCACAGTGCTGTGTCATCGTGGGAGTTGTTAGGGTGTATCTACATTGTGGAATTAATGCAGTTTAGCACTACTTTAATTGCCATGGTGCAGTGGTATGGCATCGTGTTGTTAGGGAGTATCTACATGGTGGAATTAATGCAGTTTGGCACTACTTTAATTGCCATGGTGCAGTGGTATGGCATCATGGGAGTTGTAGCTTTATCAGGTCCCTAAGGTGCATCTACATGGTGGAATTAATACAGTTTGGCACCACTTTAGTTGTCATGGCTCAGTGCTATGGCATCGTGGGAGTTGTAGCTTTATCAGGTCCAAGGAGTTGCAGCTTTATAAGGCCAACTCTGACTATTCTGATTCCCCAACCAGAGAAATTAGCTTCTAACCCTCTCCCTTTGTTTTGACATTTCAGTCGAATCTGGGATACCGCCTCAGGCCAGTGTTTGAAAACATTGATTGGTAAGTGTTTGTTGAAACCAATGCTAATATCCAAACCCGGTGAACAGCACTTTCCATCAACGGCATTCTGCTTTTCCTCTTGCAGACGATGACAATCCGCCGGTGTCCTTTGTGAAGTTCTCTCCCAACGGGAAATACATCTTAGCTGCAACTTTGGATAAGTAAGAGTTTTCTTTATCCATTCGATCACCTTTCTAACTTGGGGGCTGCCTGGTGATGGATGGATGGAAGGAAGGAAGGGAGGGAGGGAGGGAGGAAAGAGAGAAGGAAGGATGGATGAAAGGGAAGAAGAGAAGAGTGGAAGGAGAAAGATGGAAGGAGGGAGGAAAGAGGGAAGGAAGGGAAGACAAAAGAGAAGGAAGGAGGGGAGAGAAGGATGGAAGGAAAAGAAGGATAAAAGAAAGAGAAAGAAGGAAAGCCAAAAGGGAGGTAGGGAAGAAAGGAAGGAGAAAGAGGTAGGGAAGGAGGAATGAAAAAGAAAAGGAAGGAAAGACAAAATGGAGGGAGTGACAAAAGGCTGGAAGGGAATGGAGGGAGGGAGAAAGAGGGAAGGAGGAAAGAACGGAGGAAGGAAAGAGAAAAGGAAAAGAAAGAAGGAGAAAGGGAGAAAGAAAAGGGTGGAAGGGAAGGAGGGAGAAAAGGAGGGAAGGAAAGAGAAGGAAGAATGAAAGGGTGGAAGGGAAGAAGGAAGGAAGGACAAAAGGGTGGGAAGGATGTAGGGAGAAAGAGGAAGGGAGGGAGGTAAGGAGGAATGAAAGAAGGAAAGAAAACGGAGGGAAGGGTAAAAGGGTGGAAGGGAATGGAGGGAGGGAGAAAGGACGAAGGAAAGGGAAGGAAGGAATGAAAGAAGGAGAAAGAGAGAGAAAGGAAAGGATGGATGAAAAGGTGGAAGGGAAGGAAGGAAGGAAAGAGAATAAAGGAAGGGTGGAAGGGAAGGAAGGAAGGACAAAAGGCTGAAAAGGAAGGATGGAAGGAGAAAGAGGGAAGGGAGGGATGGAGGAAGGAAAGGGAAGGAAGGCATAAAGGAGAAAGAGAAAGGAAAGAATGGAAAGATGAAAAGGGTGGAAGGGAAGGAAGGACAAAAGGGTGGAAGGGAAGGATGGAAGGAGAAAGAGGGAAGGGAGGGATGGAGGAAGGGAAGGGAGGGATGGAGGAAGGGAAGGAAGGAGAAAGGAAAGGATGGAAGGACAAAAGGGTAGAAAGGAAGAAAGGAGAGGGAGGGAAGGAAGGGTGGAAGGGAAGGAGAAAGAGGGAGTGAAGGAGGAAGGAAAGAGAGAAGGAAGGAAGAATAGGATGGTGAGAGAAAAAAGGGCCTCAGGAAAGAGCCCAAGGGGCCACATCCAGCCCCCGGGCCTGGGTTTGCCCATACCTGTTATAAGTCTTACTAAATTCTACTTTTTTCCTTACACTCTTTAGCACTCTCAAACTTTGGGACTACAGCAAAGGAAAGGTGAGTTTCACAGCTTTTCCTTTTGATGGTTAACTGGGAGTTCACAGGGGGAAGGCAAAGCTTCCAATGAGCTTTTTCGCCCAAACCAATATGTTATGTATCTGTTTTATGTAATGGCTTGTGACTGTGCCTATCTATTTAAATATCTCTTTCTCTTGATCTGTCTTTTATCTCTGTCTTTCTGTGTGTATCTATTCTTCTGGATTGATCTGTAGACCGATCTATCTATCTTTATGGGTTGTAACCTGCCACAAGTAAAGACGGATAAAAAAAATAAAATGATTGCACTATATTATTTCACTACAAAGGAAAGCCTCCTAAGGAAGAGATGACATTGGTCTGTGTGTTTTGGTTCTTTTTAATCACTTGGGCTACTGATGCTGGGTCACGCTGCGACTGATAAGTTACTCTGCTGTGCATTTATGGGGAGGGTCGTTGGTTATTAAGCCCACTCGTCCAACAGTGTTGTTGTTGTTGCTTTTATTATTTATCTCAGTCTGTCTGGATCTTTCTCTCTAATATCTAGCTCTGTCTGTCTGTTTACCTTTGCACCCCTATCTATACACCTCTCTTTTTGTTTGTCTGTGTGTCTGTTTGTCTATCTATTCATCCCTCCCTCCCTCCATCTGATTTCCATGGCTTGCACCTTTTTGTCTTCCAGTGCCTAAAGACCTACACAGGCCACAAGAACGAAAAGTACTGCATCTTTGCCAATTTCTCGGTTACTGGTGGAAAGGTGAGGATGTTGCTTCCAAATTGCAAACACTAAGCAGAGTAGGAAGTGTGTGCCATTTATACTATGTTCTCCTTATTTTTCTTGTCTGTGTTTCCTCCCCGTCAGTGGATCGTGTCTGGTTCCGAGGACAACCTGGTTTACATTTGGAACCTGCAAACGAAAGAGATCGTACAGAAGCTGCAAGGACACACAGGTATGCATCCAACAGGGTTCGGAGTCTGCAGCATCACACTCTTGGCTCATGTTCAGCTCGATCCTTTCCCCCATGGGCTGTTTTGAGGTCATCCTATTCTATTCTATATCAGGCTGGGATGTTTTTCATTTTTTTAATTTTCATATTTTTAAATGCATTTTTTCCCTTTTTTCTTTGTTTTTTAAATATCTTATTTCTTCTCTTTTCCTACTTTTCTTTTATATCATTGTTCTCTTACTTTACCTGTAAATCCCTAAACTGTTCAGGGTCGGTTTAAGTGTCTGAACGCATCTCTCCCTATGAAACATCTAGGTCAGTGTTTCTCAACCTTCCTAATGCCGTGACCCCCTAATACAGTTTCTCATGTTGTGGTGACCCCCAACCATAAAATTATTTTCGTTGCTATTTCACAACTGTAATTTTGCAATTGCTATGCACCATCATGTAAATCTATATATATAAATTTGTTAGGGGCATCCAATGGAGAAACAAAACTCAAAAACCCCCCAACGAAACTTAACCAAAATTCCCATGCCCATAACACAACCCACAAGGTACAAACATATCTACTCAAAATGAAAAACAACACAACAACACACTCACAAAACGGCAAAAGAACAAAATTCAAAAAAACCCCAACGAAACTTAACCAAAATTCCTGTGCCCATAACACAACCCACAAGGTACCATCATATCTACTCAAAATGAAAAACAACACAACAACACACTCACAAAACGGCAAAAGAACAAAATTCAAAAAAACCCCAACGAAACTTAACCAAAATTCCTGTGCCCATAACACAACCCACAAGGTACCATCATATCTACTCAAAATGAAAAACAACACAACAACACACTCACAAAACGGCAAAACAACAAAACTCAAAAAAACCCCAACGAAACTTAACCAAAATTCCCATGCCCATAACACAACCCACAAGGTGCAAACATATCTACTCAAAATGAAAAACAACACAACAACACACTCACAAAACGGCAAAAAAACAAAACTCAAAAATACCCCAACGAAACTTAACCAAAATTCCCATGCCCATAACACAACCCACAAGGTACAAACATATCTACTCAAAATGAAAAACAACACAACAACACACTCACAAAATGGCAAAACAACTGAGCATGCGCATTGGCGCCCAGCCGCAAGTTCCCTGGCGTGCGCACATGGCCTTCCGGCCAACGTTCCCTCTGCGGAAACCATGCCCACTCCAAGCCCCGCCGCGCCGCTTCCCCACACACACACACCCCCTGCCGCACACACACACACAACCCACTCCCACTCCCCCCGCCGCCGCACACACACACGCAACCCCACTCCCCCCCGCCGCCACACACACACAACCCCACCCTCCACTCTCCCCACTGGTATACTCCATCACACCCCCCGCCGCCACACACACACACACGCAACCCCACGCTCCATCCCTCCCCCCCCGCCACCGCACACACGCAACCCCACTCCCCTGCCACCGCACACACACACGCAACCCCACGCTCCATCACTCCCCCTCCGCCGCCGCACACACACATGCAACCCCCCATCACTCCCCCGCCCCCCACCACCCCCCCCGCCGCCGCACACACACCCGCAACCCCACGCTCCATCACTCCCCCCCCGCTGCACACACACACACAACCCCACGCTCCATCACTCCCCCCCCCCAATCTTACCTCCTTTTACTTCACGCCCCCTCCAAACCCCACCCCGCCCCTTCCCGCCCTGTCAAAATCTAGGAACAGGAAGGAAGGAAAGAAGGAAGAAAGAGAAAGGGAGGTAAAGAAAAAGGGGGAAGGAAGGAAAGTTAGAGAAAGAAGGAAGAAGAAAAGGAAAGAAAAGGAAAGATGGAAGGAAAGAAAAGAGAGACAGCAGAAAAAAAAGAAAAAGGGGGAAGGAAGGAAAGAGATAGAGAAAGAAGAGGAGAAGGAAAGATGGGAGGGAAGGAAGGAAGGAAGGAGGGAAGGAGAGAAAGAGGGAAGGTTGGCCACAGCAACACGTGGCGGGTAAAGGTTGTTATTTCTATTATTATTATTATTATTATTATTATTATGCTATTGTTCCTATGAGACCCTGGGGGAATGGGAGCGGTGTCAGGTCCCAGAGGCAATGCATTGCATTATTGTTATTGTTATGATGGTGGTAAAATAAAAGGAAATAAAAAGTGAAAGAAGGAAGCAAACAGGGAGGGAAGAAAGCAAAGGAAGAAAGGGGGAGGGAATGAAGGAAAGAGAGAAGGATGAAACCAAGTAGTGAAAGAAAGAAAGAAAGAAAGAAAGAGGTAGAGAAGGAAGAAAGGAGAGAAAGGGAGGAAAAGGGGGAAGGAATAGGTAGGTACCTCTCTTTCATAATAGTCCAGATATCTACCTCAACTTTGATAAGTTTTACTATAGGCCACAGCAACGCGTGGCAGGGCACAGCTAGTATCTGATATGCAGGATGTGTTTTCATTCACTGGGCCAAATTTGACACAAATACCCGATATGGCCAAATTTGAATACTGGTGGGGTTGGGGGGAGGGTTGATTGTGTCATTTGGGAGTTGTCATTGCTGGGATTTATAGTTCACTTCCAATCAAAGAGCACTCTAAGCTCCACCAACGATGGAAAGGCACCCAGAACTCCCATGACCAACACAAAATACTGGAAGGGTTTGATGGGCACTGACCTTGGGTTTTGGAGTTGTAGTTCATCTACACCCAGAGAGCTCTGTAGATCTGGACCAAACTTGGCATGAATACTCAAAGTGCCCAAATATGAATGCTGGTGGAGTTTGGGGAAAATACACCTTGACATTTAGGAGTTGCAGTTGCTGGGATTTATAGTTCACCTACAATCAAAGAGCCTTCTGAATTCCACCAACAATAGAATTGGGCCAAACTTCCCACACAGAACTCCCATGACTTGTAGGGACTCAGTGGCACAGGGCTCCCTCCAGCTTCACACATTCTCTCTTGCTTGCACATGCAGACCATGCTGCCATGCGCATCTGCTCTTCCCTCATTGCTTGGAGTCTCAGACAGGACGATGCAATGGAAAATGATTTTCACTTCACTTTATTTCTTAATTAGTCGCTCTCCACCAAGGTGCTCCGAGCGACTTATAATTTAAAATAGCATTTCACAATATAAAAACATTCAACATAAAAAAAAAAATCAACAGTGACATTCAACAGTGATTTTAATGATGAGATGCCAAGAACTGTATTTTATGATTTTAATTGTTTATTGTTTTTATATGATTGATACTATATGTACCATATATACTCGTATAAGCTGACCCGAATATAAGCTGAGGCACCAAAATAAAAATAGATGCCAATAAAATTACATTAATTGAGGCATCAGTAGGTGAAATGTTTTTTAATATTTACATAAAACTGTAATTTGAGATAAGACTGCCCAGCTCTGATTAAATCATTACATATCTTCAATGTAAATGTACTTACATATCCTTCCTACAATAATAGAGATTAAAATAATAAATATAACAATAATAAAGTAAAATAATGGAAATGCAATAATAAATGTAATAATAGAGTAGAATAATAAATGCAATAATAATAAAGTAAAATAAATGTAATAATAATAGGGTAAAATACTGTAAATGTAATAATAATAATACATGAAATAAGAATAATACTAATAACAGAGTAAAATAATAAATAACTAGATAGATTTATTTATTTATTTATTTATTTATTTATTGCATTTGTTAACCGCCGCTCTCAGCCCTAGGGCGACTCGCGGCGGTGTACAACATATAAAAACAGTATACAATAAAGCACAACAAAATCAACATTTCACTAATACACACTAAACTAATTTACACTAAGCTAATCCGCATCGTCACACATAGAATCATAGCCAATCTCATAGTCCGTATTCCGTTCCAGTTGTCATTACCAGTTTGTATAGCACTCAATTAAATGCCTTTTCAAATAGCCAGGTCTTTAGGCTCTTACGGAAAGCCATAAGGGAGGGCGCCTGTCTGATGTCAATAGGGAGGGTGTTCCACAGCCGGGGGGCCACCACCGAGAAGGCCCTTTCCCTCGTCCCCGCCAGACGTGCCTGTGAGGCAGGCGGGATCGAGAGAAGGGCCTCCCCAGATGATCTCAAGGCCCTCGTGGGCTCATAGGCCGAGATGCGGTCCGAAAGGTATTTTGGGCCGGAACCGTTTAGGGCTTTGTAGGATAACACCAGCACCTTAAATTGGGCCCGGTAGCAGATTGGCAGCCAGTGGAGCTGGGACAACAAGGGCGTTGTGTGCTCCCTGCGTCCCGCTCCCGTTAGTAACATGGCTGCCGCGCGCTGGACTAGCTGAAGCCGAGGGGAGCTTTTTCAGCCTAAAAAGGGGCTGAAAAACTAGGCTTATACTCGAGTATACACAGTAATTGTTTTTGACTGTATTTTATCTTGTGGAGAATTGATTGCCAAATGTAAGCTGCCTTGAGTCTCCTCCGGGCTGAGAGGGGCACTATACAAATATAATAAATAAATAATGGGGTTTCAAGATCATTCCAACCTCTGTTTCCTTCTCCTTTTCCCAAACAGATGTGGTGATCTCGACCGCCTGCCACCCTACGGACAACATCATCGCCTCCGCGGCCCTAGAAAACGACAAAACCATCAAGCTTTGGAAGAGCGACTGTTAAGAGCGACGCGCTGGGGGTCGCCGACACCACTTTAGAGACTGTTGGGGGCGGGAGGGGGTTCGCCTGGTCGGAATTAGGGGCTTATTTTGTGTTTCCGGTCTTTTGTTTTGTTTGGTTTTTTTTTTACAAAAAAAAAGAGAGAGAAAACCCACATACGAGTGAACTCCCATCGGAGGCCTGACTTGGGGAATAAAAAAACAACACTGCTTTCCTTTCCATCCTTCCTATGTTGGTCAATTGGGCATGTCTCCCTTGAGCCTTGCAACAATTCCGTTTTCAGAGGATGCACATTCTTCCAAAAGACGCTTTCGTTCGCACCTCAAAGTGGTCCATGAAGCCTCGTCGGGGTTTATTATTATTATTTTCCTAATGTGACCAAATGAGGTTTCTGACTCTTTTTCTTCCTTGCGTTTCCTCCCATCTTTGTGCGCTCTAGCCTTCGCTATCACCGTCAAAAGTCTGTCTGGCTTTTCCTTCCTCTAGTATCTGAAGCTCTGCAAACTTCCTTGCTTTGTGGCTCTTTCCATATATATTTTTCAATCTCTCGATCACACAAAAACCTGTACAGTTTATTCCAGTGTATAAAACTAAACCGAACCTTTTTTTCAATTATTATTATTATTGTACGGACTTGTGTTGCTTTATGGTATGACTGTAAACGTTTTCACAGTCCTCCTCCTTTTTTCCCCGCGTTGGCAGCATTTCACACGCCCGAACCGGTGACCTTAGTATTGCATTATAAATAAAACAGGTGGGATTTTTATTATGTGGACGGCTGCAGTTCCAGTGGACTCGTGTGAATGGAGGCTTTGTCCCAAGCGATTGCATAACATCGTAGCAATAATAATAATAATAATAATAATAATAATAATAATAATAATAATAATAGTAGTCATCATATTTATATTGTCAAAGGCTTCCATGGCTGGAATCACTGGGTTGTTGTGAGTTTTCCAAGCAGTCAGGCCATGTTCCAGAAGCATTCTGTCCTGACGTTTTGCCCACATCTATAGCAGTCAACCTCAGAGGTGTGTGAGGTGTTGGAAACTGGGAAACAGGTTTATATATCTCTGGAATGATGTCCAGGGTGGGAGAAAGAACTCTTGTCTGCTGGAGGAAAGTGTGAATGCCGCAACTGGACAGCTTGATTAGCACTGAATAGCCTTGCAGCTTCAAAGCCTGGCTGCTTCCTGCCTGAATCTAGGCAGATGTGGTTTATATATCTGTGGAATGATGTCCAGGGTGGAAGAAAGAAAGTGGGGTTCGTATATTTGTGGAATGATGTCCAGAGTGGGTGAAAGAACTCTTATCTGCTGGAGGAAAGTATGAATGCCGCAACTGGACAGCGTGATTAGCATTGAATAGCCTTGCAGCTTCAAAACCTGGCTGCTTCCTGCCTGAATCTAGGCAGGTGTGGTTTATATATCTGTGGAATGATGTCCAGGGTGGGAGAAAGAAAGTGGGGTCCGTATATTTGTGGAATGATGTCCAGGGTGGGAGAAAGAACTCTTGTCTGCTTGAGGAAAGAATGAATGCCGCAACTGGACAGCTTGGTCCAGCCTTGCAGCTTCAATGCCTGGCTGTTTCCTGCCTGAATCTAGGCAGATGTGGATTATATATCTGTGGGAGAATGTCCAGAGTGGCAGAAAGAAAGTGGGGTTCGTATATTTGTGGAATGATGTCCATGGTAGGAGAAAGAACTCTTGTCTGTTGGAGGCCAATGTGAATGTTGCCATTGGCCAACTTGATTAGCGCTGAATAGCCTTGCAGCTTCAAGGCCTGGCTGCTTCTTACCTGAATCTAGGCAGGTGTGGTTTATATATCTCTGGAATGATGTCCAGGGTGGGAGAAAGAACTCTTGTCTCCTGGAGGCAAGTGTGAATGTCACCATTGGCCAGCTTGATTAGCACTGAATAGCCTTGCAGCTTTGAAGCCTGGCTGCTTCCTGCCTGAAACTAGGCAAGTTTGGTTTATATATCTGTGGAATGATGTCCAGGGTGGAAGAAAGAAAGTGGAGTTTGTATATCTGTGGAATGATGTCCAGGATGGGAGAAAGAACTCTTGTCTGCTTGAAGAAACTATGAATGCTGCAACTGGATAGCTTGATTAGCATTGAATAGCCTTGCAGATTCAAAGCCTGGCTGCTTCCTTCCTGAATCTAGGCAGGTGTGGTTTATATATATCTGTGGAATGATGTCCAGGGTGGGAGAAAGAACTCTTGTCTGCTTATTTATTTATTTATTATTTATTTATTACTGCGCTTGTATACCGCCGTTTCTCAGCCTACATTGGCGACTCAACGCGGTTTACAACATTACAATAATCAACAATATTCAAGATAAAAAGCATTAAAAAAAGCATAAAAACAGTGAATGCCGCAACTGGACAGCTTGATTAGCATTGAATAGCCTTGCAGCTTCAAAACCTGGCTGCTTCCTGCCTGAATCTAGGCAGGTGTGGTTTATATATCTGTGGAATGATGTCCAGGGTGGGAGAAAGAACTCTTGTCTGCTGGAGGCAAATGTGAGTGTTGCCATTGGCCAACTTGATTAGCACTGAATACCCTTGTAGCTTCAAAGCCTGGCTGCTTCCTGCCTGAATCTAGGCAGATGTGGTTTATATATCTGTGGAATTATGTCCAGGGTGGAAGAAAGAAAGTGGGGTTTGTATATTTTATTTATTTTATTTATTTATTATTTAAACTTATATGCCGCCACTCCCTTGGGGCTCGGAGCAACTTACAAGAATAGCTAAAATCTAACAAAATTTAAAAGCAATTTAAAACAATTTAAAAACAACAATATTAAACATTAAAAGCCTGTCGAAACAGGTATGTCTTACATGCCCTGCGGAAAGCTCGTAAGTCCCGCAAGGCACGGACTTCAGGTGGCAGAGTATTCCAGAGTGATGGTGCCACTGCTTGTGAAGGCTCTGCGTCTGGTTGCTGTTAAACGCAAGGTTTTGACACTGGGAACTTCCAATAGATCTTGGTCCTCAGAACGGAGGGATCTCTGGGGTTAAGGAAAGTATGAATGCTTGATTAGCATTAAATAGCCTTGCAGCTTCAAAGCCTGGCTGCTTCCTGCCTGAATCTAGGCAGGTGTGGTTTATATATCTGTGGAATGATGTCCAGGGTGGCAGAAAGAAAGTGGGGTTCGTATATTTGTGGAATGATGTCCAGGGTGGGTGAAAGAACTCTTGTCTGCTTAAAGAAAGTGTGAATGCCGCAACTGGACAGCTTAATTAGCATGGAATAGCTTTGCAGCTTCAAAGTCTGGCTGCTTCCTGCCTGAATCTCGGCAGATGTGGTGTTTACTTTGAAAGTAGTTGTTTTACTCCAGAAGCGGGGAAAAGCAAGCAGAGGAAATTCCTTCTCTGGTTTAAAACTGGCTTCTCTGGCTTGAGCCGAGGCCAGGAAATTCCTCCCTTCTCTGGCTTTAAAACTGGCTTCTCTGGCTTGTGCTGAGGCCAGGAAATTGCTTTCTCCTCTGGTTTAAAACTGGCTTCTCTGGCTTAGAACTGGCATCTCTGGCTTGAGCCAAGGCTAAGAAATTCCTTCCCTGGTTTAAAACTGGCTTCTCTGGCTTAGAACTGGCATCTCTGGCTTTAGCCAAGGCCAGGAAATTCCTTCCTTCTCTGGTTTAAAACTGGCGTGTCTGGCTTAGAACTGGCTTATCTGGCTTGAGCCAAGGCCAGGAAATTCCTTCCTTCTCTGGTTTAAAACTGGCTTCTCTGGTTTGAGCCGAGGCCAGGAAATTCCTTCCTTCTCTGGTTTAAAACTGGCTTCTCTGGTTTGAGCCGAGGCCAGGAAATTCCTTCCTTCTCTGGTTTGAGCCGAGGCCATGAAATTGCTTCCTTCTCTGGTTTAAAACTGGCTTCTCTAGCTTTAACACTAGCTTCTCTGGTTTGAGCTGAGGCCAGCAAATTCCTTCCTTCTCTGGTTTAAAACTGGCTTCTCTGGCTTGAGCCAAAGCCAGGAAATTCCTTCCTTCTCTGGTTTAAAACTGGCTTCTCTGGCTTGAGCCGAGGCCAGGAACCAGAAGCAGAGAAAAGCCAAATCATTTCCGACTCACTTCCTGAAATTCCTTCCTTCTCTGGTTTATAACTGGCTTCTCTGGCTTGAGCTGAGGCAGGAAATTCCTTCCTTCTCTGGTTTAAAACTGACTTCTCTGGCTTGAGCCGAGGCCAGGAAATTCCTTCCTTCTCTGGTTTAAAACTGGCTTCTCTGGCTTGAGCCGAGGCCAGGAGATTCCTTCCTTCTCTGGTTTAAAACTGGCTTCTCTGGCTTGAGCCGAGGCCAGGAGATTCCTTCCTTCTCTGGTTTAAAACTGACTTCTCTGGCTTGAGCCAAGGCCAGGAAATTCCTTCCTTCTCTGGTTTAAAACTGGCTTCTCTGGCTTGAGCCAAGGCCAGGAAATTCCTTCCTTCTCTGGTTTAAAACTGGCTTCTCTGGCTTGAGCCAAGGCCAGGAAGTCCTTTCCTTCTCTGGTTTAAAAGTGGCTTCTCTGGCTTGAGCCAAGGCCAGGAAATTCCTTCCTTCTGTGGTTTAAAACTGACTTCTCTGGGAACTATAGCTGTTTGTGGAAGCAGGAGCTTGTCTGTTTACGTGGACACTCCAGCCACGTACACACATACATATTTTCACTTTTATTATGCATATAAATAGATAGATATCCCTTTTATTTGGAAGGAAAAGAAGAAAAAGCAACCTTCAACATCTCCTATTTTTTGCTCTTTGATGATTTCCCATTTTCATTGCAGCTAAAAGGGAAAGGGGCCTAGATTTCTGCAAACCTCTGAATGGTGAAAACACCATTAATAAATCCAGAAATGCATTCATGAAGGCAGATCGCCGATTAGACCGTTTTGCCGGCAAATCCTGCTTAGCGATCATCCCTTATTGGACACAGAACTTATCTCATCTCATTGCCGCGGTCCAAAGCCTAAGCTGGGGTTGGCCAGCTGTCTCTGATTTTCTTCCCATTTCCAAGCATTCCCATATTAAAAGGCAGAGATATGAACAAACACATACACAAAAACCCAAATTCTCCTCCTATTTCCTTTCCCAATTCCTGCATGATAGAGACAGGAATTGTAGGAAAAACAATGGATGAATTGGGCAAACAAACAAACAAACAAACACTTTTCTTATTATTTACTTAGATTTTTGAAAAATTCCAAATTTGACCCTGGTGGGATTCGAACTCGCGAACTGCAACACGACACTGCCGCTCCTGCCGCCATCTTGGAAGAGGGCAAATAGAAAGCAACGCAGCTGAGCTGTGCCCGACCTTAAGATGGCGGAGTCATGGCCTCGTTCCCTATTCTGATATTTAACCATCGCTTCCCCTTGCTTTGACGCCTTGTGCTGCGATTGGATGAAAATGTGCATATATTAGCATATAAAATGAGGGAGGACACTTTCCAGCTAAACCGAGCCGATTGTGGGGATAAATTGATTTCTACAATATGAAATTTTAAAATTATAGCTATACTTGCGTTATGGTGTGAAAAGAGATCAAAATAGACTCATTAATATGATTAATAATTGCCCACCGTGACTTGAAAAGGTCTGAAAATAATGACTTTATATAGAGAGTGGTCAATGGAGCCCAGTGTGTTGTATGAAAGGAGAGAAGGTTAGCACTCCCCTTGATAAGGATGGAAGAGGTCCTAGTGGCCTGTACAACACGCATATGGTTAAGGCATTGCCACTTACTTTGTGGCATCTAACCAAGTTTTTTCCCCGCCCTTTTAATTGTGGGA